CCTAAAGATGAAGATGATAAGACTCTCACCTCCAGGGTATGTTTAAAGGATCACCAAAAATATCAGTAATTCAGATAAATGCTTTAATAAAATATAAAGTTGGTGAAATATATGATAAAAAATGAAATTGTAAATAAAGATTGGAAGTTTGCTTGTTTTCAGTCCTTGTTATACTGTTCAAGGAATAGTATTTTAAAATCAGCCTGTGGGCCTGAGTGGTAGTACAGCCAGTAAGGCATTTGCCTTGCCAACCTGTGTTTGATCCCCAGCGTCCCATATGGTCCCCCAAGCACCACCAGGGGTAATTCCTGAGTGCAGAGCCAGAAGTAAACCATGAACATCACTGGGTGTAACCCAAAAAGAAAAGAAAAAAAAATCAGTCTGTGGTTCTTGAGGCCTGTGTCCCAAAGTTGCATGTATGAGGGTTGACAGAGAACAGAGGGGCAATGAACAGATTCATACAATCACGTATGTTTTCCTTGATTGTTGAGTCTTTATTAACTTTTATTCACTTTGCCAAATGGGAGAATATTTTGATGAGCACATATGTTTTCTTTTGTCTCAGAACTCAATATTACCTTGAATATGTTTCCTAAATTTTAGTGCCTTAAATTTTAAAGGGAATCATCTATAATACAAACATCGTGGTGTTGATGTAAATTATAAATTATGTAATGCAACTAAATAATTTAACATAATACCTTTAGTCAATACATATAAAAAATAATCTTTAAATGGTCAGTTGACTTCCCATAATTCCTCAATTTGGATACTGAACACTCATGAAATAAGTGAATCAGTCAATAATTAGTGAGTCTAGAGGTTGATGAGTTTGCAATACTTGAATATCTATTGAACACTGATCTGGGCAGATGCACAATAGTTGAACTAGTGAACCAACATGACCTTGTTAAATTGTAAAAGTATACCAAGTTGAGAATCCCATGGAGTTTTAGAACTCTTTATTAATATTTGACAAAGGTATCAACCTTATTTTTGGAGAACAGAAAAGAAAATCAGGCAAGAATAAAGACTCCCCTACCACGCTGTTTCTCGTAGACTAATTGTCTGCCATCATTGTTATCAGGCAGGATTCTGATTCTAAAAGCCCACCTCCTATCAGCAAATTACCAACATCTCTGAAATTGCAATTTATATAAAGTCCCTGTTTCCTGTCATTGCTTTTAACTGTCTTTTCAGATATTCAAAGAATTGTATTTGTGTAGTTATTATTTAAGGCTAGAGCGATAGCACAGTGGTGGGGCATTTGCCTTGCACGCGGCCAACATAGCCAACCTGAGTTCGATTCCTCTGCACCTCTCGGAGAGCCCGGCAAGCTGCCGAGAGTATGTCGCCTGCACGGGAAAGCCTGGCAAGCTCCCCATGACGTATTCAATAAGCCAAACACAGTAACAACAAGTCTCACAATGGAGACGTTACTGGACTCGCTCCAGCAAATCGATGAACAACGGGAGGACAGTGCTACAGTGCTACAGTTATTATTTGGGTTTTGTTTTTTTATGAATGTATATCCAAAATCTATTTGTCTCTGCTCTTGGATATACCTATTCATTAATATTGTGACTTGAGTAACTTCTTACTCTGTTGAGCAAACTACTTAATCTCAGTTTATTCCAGGTCATTATTAAGATTATAATAAGACTTGAAAAAAATTGCACAATGCCTGAAATATAGGAAGATCCAAATCAATTTAAACTACTGCTTATAAAAATATCAAATTTTAGAAATATTCATGCATAATATTAATATTAATTTCCTTCATCTAGTACTAGACATTTCATTGTTTTCCTGCACTAGTTTTATATGTTTCTTCTATTTACTGGGTGAAGGCAGCCACTCCTATGCAGATTCTTGCCAGACCCCATTTGTAACTGCAAACTCTCTAGTATCCTTCATGATCTCCTGATGTTTCGGTTACAGGAAATCTTTGCAACCAAATTCTATCATTCCAGGCAAAGAAAACAACCCTGTCCTCTAAAACAGCTCAGAAAACTAAACAAACTAAAACTTGGCCTTAATTGTTCTTTTAAAAATATTTGTACCTTTCCATCAGTTATCCCAAGTCATACACAGCTCCGCACAAAAAAGGAAGAAGCAGTTTGTGTCACTAGTGTTCGCTGCTCATATTCCCATAACAAAGGAAGAGCAGAAACAGTTCAAATGGTTCATCATATAGTTCATGACCAAAAAGTATTCTGAACTCCAGATTCCTCACAAAAAGAGTCACTGAGGAAGAAGCAAGAGCTATAAAATTCGGCTGGTTGTGATGAAAGACCTGCAGGGGGAGCATGTTCCCTGACAACTGGTCTCAGTGTCAACAGAGGCTTGGTTAAATGCTCCCTTCCTCTCTCCTGTGATATTATGCTTAGGAAGCCATTTGAGGTCCTTGTCTCGGGTTACAAATTTCTCCCTCGAATTCTCTGTACCCTTCCACATTAGAAAGACAACAGCGCGGTGTAGGTCCATCTTTATGAGAGTGTTTATATCTGCATTTCTTCGGAATATGCCCTGAGCAGAATTTAATTCTTCACTGACACTTCTATATATATGTTTCTGTGTAAAGTTGATGTCAATCTTCAGCCTATCCGCCTAAAGTATTTTGTCTTATGTAGGAGTTTCTACTAAGAATATTCTATAAACATAACTATTTAAGAAGTCTGTCTTTTCTATTTTTACTATTTACCATGGACGCTCAGTTCATACTTGAGTTCCCTCATTTACTAGTTTCTATTTCTTCTAGCCTAAGACTTGTCCTTTCTCTGTCTTTCTTGTTAATTTTTAGGCCACACCTGGCTGTGCTCAGGGGATCAGAGCTTACTCCTGGCAGTGCTCAAGGGACCAGACGTGGGCCAAAGATCAAACCCTAGTCAGTCTGGTGGAAGGCAAAAGTCTGGTACAATTACTCATTGTACTATCTCTCTGGCTCTGTATAATTTTTTTTAACATTGTGGGTAATTTTTCCCCCAAATTTTGCTGACTTCATCCCCAGTCAAGACTGCATTCCTGTTCACTCTTCTCCAATAAAGTTCCTTCCTTTTCCACAGATATTTTCACATAAGCTTTTATCTATGGTCTAGTTTTTTATTAGTTATTCTCATCTCTACACTTGTTCTTAGCCAAAAGGGCTGGAGCGATAGCACAGCGGTAAGGCGTTTGCCTTGCAAGCGGCCAGCCTGGCCGAGCTGGGTTCTATTCCTCCACCCCTCTCAGAGAGCCTGGCAAGCTACCAAGAGTATCTTGCCCGCACGGCAAAGCCTGGCAAGCTACCCATGATGTATTCAATATGCCAAACACAGTAACAAGTCTCACAATGGAGACATTACTGGGCCCCGCTTGAGCAAATCGATAAACAACAGGAGAACAGTGCAGTGCAGTGCTATTCTCATCCCTAGTTCCCTTGAGCAACTTTGTAAAAACACCCCATCCTGGATCTCATCCTAGACTGACTGAGTTAGGCTCTCTGGAGAAAAACCTTGTGCATCAGAATATTTTCAGAACAACTCTTTTGAGAATACTGTTTTATGAAAGAGCCTGAGAACATCATCTTTCCTCTCGGGCCCTTTCCCTTATGCTCTTCCAGCACCCCTGCCCGCCCCCACCTCATCCCATCCCCACTCCCGTCTTCAGCAGGACTTGAGCAGCACATTGACTCATGGTGATCAAGTATGGCACTAGGGAGACCTTGTTCTTGAAAATCTTTGATTTAATCGAGCAGTACCCAGGGACTCTTCTTGGATCTGTGCTGGGGTTTTTCTCCTGGTAGCCTTACGAGAACATTACAATGCCAGGGATTTGAACCTGAGCCTTCTGCATGCCATGCATGGGCTTATCCTGCTGAACTATCTCTTCAGCCCAGTTCATGAACATTCTTAATAAGGGATAAATAATGGGGAAGATATTTTTTCACAGACAGACAAATTGAGATGAAACAAAGGGACTCTCACATCCAAATAAACTTTGACCTCTAGAGTTCAGATTTGCATATTATTCTTTGTGCATTCTCTTTGAAGTTAGCACAGATGCAGAGATAAATGCAGAGAGATGAAGATCATGACTAGGCTGAGATAGTAAGGCAAGGATGTGGCAGGGCACAACTTTAGGAGATAATTGCTCCCAGGTGCTCACCTCCACTTACAAGAAACTAAAAATAAGTGTCTTCTTACATTCCAATCAGCTCCTTGCCTCACCCTACTCCCAGCTCCACTGAGGACAGGGAAAAAAATGTGATCTTTGCTCAAGGAAGGCTGGGAAAAGTAAACTGATGATAAAATATTCAGATGAAAATTTGAAAACCAAAATAAATGTAGTTTCTTCCACAAATCTTGGTATTGCAGTGCGGCTTGTGATCTGCCATTGTACTCCAGTATTGTATTCCTCAAGTGCCTTAAGGGGAATCGTAAAGGAAACGGGAAACGTTCATAAGTGTAGCAAATGTCTGTATGTTAAGGGGTAACACTAATTTTAAATTCTAATAATTCTAGTGCAATAATTCTGAAGTTTTCATTCTTCATCATCTTGATTCTAAGCTACCGAGAGTATCACACCCTCACAGCAAAGCCTGGCAAGCTACCCATGCATGACGTATTCGATATGCCAAACATAGTAACTATAAGTCACAATGGAGACATTACTGGATCCATTCAAGAAAATCGATGAACGGAACGGAAGGACAGTGCTACAGTGCTACAAATATATTAACATAGGTGTAACACCTTCCCCAGAGCTAGCACAATTGTGTGTTTGAAAACTTATCACTGGGCTGGAGCAACAGTAGAGTGGGCAAGACACTTGCCTTGCACGTGGCCAACCTGAATTCAATCCTCAGCACCACAGGTGATCCCTCAAACCTGCCAGGAGTGATCCCTGAGCACAGTGCTTTGAGCACAGTAATCTTTGAGCACTGCTGGGTATAACTGAAAAAAAAAACAAGAAAACAAACAAACAAACAAACCCACTCTGATAACTCTTTTTCTTTCTAGGAAGACAACGGAAATCAGGAAACACTTCTCACTGGAGATCATCCCATCAGCAATTCCACATTATTTAAAGACAGAGTCAAGCTGGGTGCAGATTATGCCCTCCACCTCTCTCCAGTCCAAATCCATGATGACCATCGGAAGTTCTCTTGTCAGGTCATCATTAGGCCTGGAAAAATATTGAGGAGCTCCACCACGGTCAAAGTTTTTGGTAAGAGCTTTTTCTTCTCTGATATCTTGCTCTTGCTCGCTCACATTTTCCTGCCTAGCTCTCTCCAAAGAGAAGATGAATAGCCTTGCAAAGATAGCTATTTTGGAAATCAGTTTGCCTTGACACTTTTCATTTATGTTGTGGTTGGAGACAAAATCAGGAAGCTAAAGAATAGTAATTAAATTAGTATAACAAACCATACAAAAAGCCATAAATCAGTCAGTTGGTGAACACATCTTATTTACAATTTTAATGTTTCCCAAGAATGGTAGAAATCTCTTTAATTATATCTGTCAAATTCTAATTGCTTTGATGCTTAATTGTCAGAGCCGCCTGCCAACAGCAAGGCAGAATGAGGCCGGTGTGACAAAAGGAGGAGAATAAAGACAGCTCCAAAGAAGCCTGCGGGAGTCCCCACTCCCACATCCTTTTCAATGCCACAGCCAGTCCCCCCCAAGTAAGGTCAAGTGTGAGATGTCAGTCACCTCCAGGCAAAGACCACGACTGTCCCTGATTCTCAGGAGCCTGAGGCTGAGCTGACTACCCACTGCATAATCACTCAAGCTGCAGACTCTACAAGGTGCATGTTTAAGGGAAGATACAAAAAGTCTATTTTGCTCAGTGAGGCAAGAAAATCTTAATGAACAGAAGCCTACAGCTTTGGAATTTTATTTATAATCTTTGGGAAGGAGATTCATTTGTAAGTGAAGGCAACAAGGAAAGCAGTGATGTGGATGAGCAATTAATTGCTTTTTGAAACTGAGGTAAACAAAGAGAAAATAGTTTCACCAAACCCAAGGGCATGGGATGTTTGTTAGGTCTTTCCTCAGTTCTTAGAACGGCAGTTCTCTGAATTTCAGTTCTCTGGAAAACTTTATTTTTGCTTAGAATCTTATTGCATTTTTGTTGGAAGTCACAAAAGTGAGTCTTTGGAAGTAAATACCAACCCAGTAGCTCATAAAGATGAGAATAGCTATAGTCAAGATTTAATTTTGAATTCTCTTATTTATAGCTGTAACTAGCTCTCTCTCTCTCTCTCTCTCTCTCTCTCTCTCTCTCTCTCTCTGTTTCTCTTTCTGTCTGTCTCTGTCTATTTCCAACTCTCCATCTCTCTCCATCTTACTTCATGGATAAACTAGTGATTTTGTCCTTGGTGAGTAAGCTCTTAATATAGATAATATAGAGCATATATGGCTCCTGATGCTTAAGAGTTTGAATAATATCCTGTGAAGAGTTGGAAAAGACTGTTCACCCCTCTATCAACATTACCATCTGCTCACACTGGCACTCCCACTGGCTAATCAATGAAGACTGTTGTCAAAGATGTGGGGGGAAAGTAATCAATTCTAAGTTAGGCAAACTGTCTCACTTGATCAAGTGCTATTGCACAATTGCTTAATCTAATTGCCTTATCAGCATTCAAACCCATCTCTATGGCATTAAAATACCTTCATCTTGGTCTTGATAATTTACCTTCCTTTAAGTCTCACACTGATCACCCTTTGCATTTCTAGATTTTTCTATCTCTACATGTCTATTTGCTTTCTTTGGGTGGCTTATTGAAATAAGAGTTTCTACTTGATTGCTCATAGAATTATATTTCTCCTTCTTTGGAACTTTCCCCACTAGTAAACTCACCAGCTATACTATTTGGACCGGAGTCTTGCCTGGATTTTAATATAGTTGCGGGCATTACCAATGTATATTTTACAGTGAACCTGGCACAGCTATGTAATACATTAATGATTCCACATTCACTCTGCGTTTCTTAGTGATTCCTCTGGAATAATAAATTAAACAATTTAAATTAAACGACTAGTGCATTACAGATCCATTCTTCATTCCCTTTCATTTTTTCATTTCATTTCATCATCCTGTTATTCGTCGATTGCCTCGAGCAGGCCCCAGTAACGTTTCTTTCATCCTACCCCTTAGATTATATTCAAGGCTCTTTAGGAGAATGAGACTCATCATTGTTACTGGTTTTTGGCATATTGGGTACGCCATGGGGAGTTTGCCAGACTCTGCCCTGTGAGCAGGCTACATTCGATAGCCTGCAAGTTTGTCCAAATCCCACTCATATCTTCTTCCTGAGCAATCCTGCTATTCTCAAACACACAAAGGACCTGGCTTTTTCCAACTTATGGCACATTCATTAGTTTCCTCCCACTTTACTTTTAATACCAGGAAGTCATTCCTAACCACATTTTAAAAATTTATGTATTTATTTATTTGGCTTACCAAATATTTATTTATTTGGCTTACCAAATGCATAAATAAATAAACAATTTTAAATATGTGGTAAGGGATGACATCCTGGTAAAAGCTGTCCATGATTGGGTTTCAGTCATACAATGTTCTAACAGAAATCAGCATAATTTCCTAGTACCAATGTTTCCAGTTTTCCTCCACCCCTCCAAGTCTCCTACCTCCAGCCCCACCTGCCTCTATGGCAGGCACCTCTCTTCTCTCTATTTCTCTTTCTCTCTCATTTTTAGCATTATTGTTTGCAATACAGATGCTGGCAGGCTATCGCGTATATTCCTTTGCCTTCTTTCAACACCCAGTGACATTAGTTGGAAATGAACACCTTACCACACTTTTGTTCTTCACTTCTAAGCCCAATTGTCCTAGGCTTCACAAAGAATATTTGTTTCTGTTAACTCTGTGACTTTCTTCTTTCTTTCCTTCTTTTTTTCTTTCTTTCCCTCTTTCCTTCCTTCCTTCCTTCCTTCCTTCCTTCCTTTCCTTCCTTCCTTCTTTCCTTCTTTCTTTCTTTCTTTCTTTCTTTCTTTCTTTCTTTCTTTCTTTCTTTCCTTCTTTCTTTCCCTCCCTCCCTCCCTCCCTCCCTCCCTTCCTTCCTTCCTTCCTTCCTTCCTTCCCTCTTTCTTTCTTTCTTTCTTTCTTTCTTTCTTTCTTTCTTTCTTTCCTTCCTTCTTTCTTTCCCTCCCTCCCTCCCTCCCTCCCTCCCTTCCTTCCTTCCTTCCTTCCTTTCCTTCCTTCCTTCCCTCTTTTTTCTTTTTTTCCTTCTTTCTTTCCTTTTTTCCCTCCCTCCATTCTGGTAGCATTTTTGGTTAATAGAAGGTTAGAAATACTTCCTCTCTCATGAGTATTTTAGGGTTGTTTCATGGGTTTTGGTTATCCTGAAACAAAATATCAAGACAAGCATTTGAGAATTAATTTATTTTAAAAGAACCCTACAGTACATTTAAAGGGAGGTAAGAAATAAGTCAGTAAAAGAAGGAAAAGGGATGAAATAGAATGTGTATTCTATTTACGTTTTATATCCAATTGCCACTCTGAGTTGGAAGCTTTTTCTCGTTAGGGAACCCTTGAAGAAAACATATCAAAGTTGTCGCAAATGAAGGCAAAGAAGTCAATGTTATCTATTGCGTCCCCATATGCCCTCTCTAGATCTCTAAGACTTTCTGTTTGGTCTACTTGTGAACTGAATGTGCTTCAAAAGCCTCTGTAAGTTATTAGAAATAATCACAGATCAGGACTTCATGCCCTACAAGAGTCTTCAATATGTAGAGTCAAATACTGTGAGGGAACACAGGCATGGACGACACCCATGAAGGGCTCTTAAGTCTTTTCCTCTAATCCATAGATGACTTTGTCAGTTGTGCTCTAGAATGAATTTGAAGGCACGTTAGTTCAACACAATCAATGTACTTCGTGTAAGCCTTGTTCTGGGCACTGTTAAGTGCAGAGATGAATGTATTCAATATTGGCTTCACACTGGGCACCATTAAGTGTAAAGATGGAAACATGAAGAAAGCTGTCTAGCCTCAGGCCTTAATCCAATAAAACGAAAAAAAAATCATCTTTCAAGTGTCAGATGCTGCATATTCTGAAAGTCTTCTCTTACCCTGAAGGTTGGGTTAAACTTCTCTTAAAATTTTTCTTTGGAGCCCACTACTAGGACTAAGGGGTAGGGAAATGGACAGTCTGGTGTGGTGCTGGAATTTTAAAGTATGCAGCCACACTGTTCAGTTTTTTAAACCACAGTGCTTAAAATAAGATTTTTAAAAGGATTTTTATCTAATCTCCTGTGTCCTTACTTGCTTATCTCAGTGTTTTATAATGTCTCTCATCTATCAGTATTTTCCTTGGAAACGCCAATTTCCTCTTGTTTGGGGGGCACAACAGTGTTGCTCAGAGGCTATGCCTAGCTCTGTGCTTAGATATGATCCCTGGTGCTGCTTAGAGCATGCAAATAGAATCACAGCTGCTACAGCTGCAGTGTCTTAAGAATAATGAATATTATTCACCCAACTTTATTTTGTGGGCACATGCCATACTACCAACCACAGGGTGGGTGTTCATTTAGCATTTATTTAATGAATAACAAATCTTATGCATATGCACATATACATCTGTGCATACACACATACATGTAGCAGTTAGGCTGGCTTTAAGTGTTACTGATGGCTTTAAGGATGGCTAACTGTTTTATTTGCCTTTAAGCTAAGCCAGAAATCCCTGTGATTGTGGAAAATAACTCCACGGATGTCTTGGGAAAGGTGAGTCACATTAAAGTCTTTGGAAATCTACAATATAAAATGCCAAAATCTTTGTTATCCAGAATGTTTTCACAAAAGACCTCATCCTTGATCCTGAGCCATTAACTTCAAGTGAGGATAAAATAAAACTGAATTGATTCTTTAAAATAAATGTGAGTTCTTGATGTATGACTTAGGTATTTTAGGACATGTGATCTATAATTCTTTTGTTGTTGTTGTTCATTTATTTTGTTTTTGGACCACAGTCAGTGATGCTCAGGTGTTAGTCCTGGTTCTGTGCTCAGGAATAAATCCTAGTGATACTTGGGGGACTATATGGGGTGCCAGGGATTGAACCTGGGTCAGCCAAGTGCAAGGCAAGCACTGTATCTCACTCTGCTGTATCTCACTCCGGCTCTGTGATCTATAATTCTTAGCCCTAACATTTCCTGGGAAAAACAGTCTCAATAGTTTGAACTCATTTTTAATGAAAACTGAATTAGATAATGAGGAAAAAAGTAGAGCAAAACACAGTGTGAGTCCTGATGTAAGGTTGAGGTTTTTACTCAGCTCATAGTGAATTTGTTCTAATCTTTTCCTGTACCAATTTTTGCATTATTTTTTTAAGTGACAAGAGGAATTTTCCCTTATGTATCCCTTCAGAATTCTGGCTATGTCTTAGGCAGTAGACAAAAAAGCAGGTGAAAAAAGAAAAGGTAGTCTAGGCCCTCTGATGTGTAGGAAGCTTCTGGACTCTAGTCACTGGGAGCTGAACTTATTTGCAAGCATTTCTTCTTGTTCTCTATGACCTTAGGCATATTACTTTACAACTTTGTCATTAGTTTTCCCATCTGTAGAAAATGGTAGGAGGATAAAATATAAAAGGAGAATAAGAAGGAAATAAAAATATTATGTACACTCTTGTTTTCCAAAGTTAAATGAAGGAAAATGTTTAGTATATGAGTGGATTAATTAAAAAAGCCAATAAACAATTTGGTTGTTTTTGCTGTTGCTATTATGTGTTAATCCTCTATCGCATGGCATTATGATTTCATTTAAGCTTTCTTTCTTAAATTCTAAGTAAAATGAATATTCTAATGAATTTTTGTAGGATAAAAGATTCTTGTCTCTTCTAGCTCTAACAGTATTAAATCACTTAGGATATCAGCTCTGCTGCAACCAAGACACTTAATTTGACAACTTTCTACAAATTATTTCTGAAACTCTGTGGGGAGGGTGCTTGAGAATAGTCTACATCTCTCTATGTAACTATACATGCAGATTTATATATATATATTCATGAATATATATGTATGTACATATATGTATAATAAAAGTCTTTGCATCTCTTATTTTTTGTTCCTTGGATATTGTTACTCTCACCCTAAATATGTAGAAAAATTTTAAAAAATTTTGTTCTGCCTCAATTTATAAATTTACCAGTGGGATTTATTTTAATAGTGTAAACAAAACAATAATCTAATAGAAAATATTTGACAGACATTTGTATTTATTATAAGAATTAGGGACCAGTGTAACAGTACCACAGTTAGGGCACTTGCCTTGTGGCCAACCTGACCCCCATCTGTAGAAAATGGTAACACTGTACCACTGTCTTCCCATTGTTCATCCATTTGCTCAAGCAAGGCACCAGTAATGTCTCCGTTGTGAGACTTGTTGTTTCTGTTTTTGGCATAACAAATATGTCATGGGTTGCCAGGCTTTGCCATGCAAGCGAGATACTCTTGGTAGCTTGCTGGGCTCTCCGAGAGGGGCGGAGGATTCGAACCCAGGTTAGCCGCATTCAAGGTAAATGCCCTTCCTGCTGTGCTATATTATGTACACTCTTGTTTTCCAAAGTTAAATGAAAGTAAATGGGACCTCATATGGTAGCCTGAATCCTGGTCCCTGAGTGCCACGAGGTGTGGATCCAAAACAAACAAATGAAAAAAAATATATTTTTAGACTATTAATGCAAGTATGACAAGTAATGTATACTCAACCCAGATATATAACAATAGATTAAATCAAAGAATTCTTATTTTAAAAGACAAACTTTTCCTTAGATGTCATCAAATTTCCCCTTTCATATATGCTTTCCTAGATGTCATTAGAAAAAGCAGAGCTTTCTTTCTAGGGAATTAGTGAATCATCTTTCATCAGCTATGTATAACCAGCTATAGGACGTGGATTGTCTCTAATCTTTTAAGGTCTTGCAAAACATTATTCCTCACTATGCTATTTTTATAAACCCCATTGTATTTTAAGTAATTCATTAACTTTCAAAGCCATTTCACATGCTTTTACCATGTGATATTCTCGAAAATTCTCTGAAGCCATTTTGTATAACTGAGTTTTAAAAGGCAAATCTAAACAACTGACTAGATAACAAGTAAAAAGCAGAGCTGGAATGAGAATTTAGTATGTCCATCTCCCCAGCTATAGGACATTGATATTCTATAATATTTTAATATCTAAAAGGATTTAAGATCTAAAACATCCAGGCAGGTAGGATCATACTTCAGGGAAAGATAAAATTAGTGTCAAATCCTAATTGACTACTTACCAAGTACTGATCTTTATCAGACAGTTAACTTTCACGATTCTCGGCTAACTCACCTCTAAAACAGGGATCATATTCAATGTTTCACAGGATTCCCAGGTGAATTAAAATTTATGGCAATAATGGAGTACATGGCAGATAGTAGATATCTCAAGAATATTTCTTCTCTCCATTTCTTCTAGAGATAACACAGTGGTAGGGCATTTGCCTTGCACGCAGCCGGGCTGGCCAAGCCTGGTTCAATTCCTCCACCCCTCTCAGAGAGCCTGGCAAGCTACCGAGAGTATTTCGCCCACACAGCAAAGCCTAGCAAGCTACCCGTGACGTATTCAATATGCCAAACACAGTAACAATAGATCTCACAATGGAGTCGTTACTGGGCCCACTCGAGTAAATCCATGAACAACAGGAGGACAGTGCTACAGTGCTATACACTCTCTTTTACCAATTCTTTTCTTTGTCAAATTATGTCTATTCTTGATTCTAAGACACTGGGATAATCAAAAAACAGAAAACAGTTATAAAATCTTATAAACCTGGGCCTGATTTTCTCTCACTTATTAACTTTGGTCCCTGAAAACATCAGTTTCTTAGCTTCCTCCTCATGGGGACAATGATTCCAACCTTAAAAAGGAAATACAAGGGTTAAATGAGAGAGTATACGTAAAACATCTGCCATCTGGTAACTTCTAACTGTTTGGTAATAAGAGTTTCCTACCCTTTTCTTTCATTTCTTCAAAATTAATTAAGCCAAAATGCACATATTGGATGTGTTGCATATTTACTACAGCAACAGTCGTCAGTATTAGCATAATAGCGACAGTCAGCTGTGAAGTATGTCTTCAATATTGCTAAAATTATAAAGTTTATGGTTAATGTAATTTTCCTGTAAAATAGAAAAAGCCTCCAAATGACTTTAACAGAGATTCCTCTCAGGCTTGGGCATGCCAGGGTATCCAAAGACAGCATCATACCTGTGAATGGCATGTTCTGTGTCTCCCTGGGGGCAAGGCCTCTCCAGAGTTGCCACAGAGCACACTGCCACACTCCTGTAGCTGAGGTGAAAGAAAAGTCTTTACCCTAAACATCAGGGTCTCTCTCCTCACACATTTTTGCATCGGAGCAAAGTGTGTTGGGTCAAAGAGCTCCTCATTGCTGAACCCACAGTCCCTGACTCCCACCACCAATTGCTCTTCTCTAATGATCAGGCAAAACAAGGCCCAGGAGGAATACACGAAGATGCCAATTGATTTAAGACATTAGTTTTACATGTGATAATGCTTCATCTGTGATTGTGCTTCATGCTTTAACTTAGTCATCTCCTATGGTCCTGTCCTTGTCACTCTCTCTCTTTACGGCCCGCTTTTAAAAAGTTATTTTTTTAAAAACTACCTAACATAAAATACAGGGAACAAAAGCAATTATGGGGATAAATTCCTAAAAATACAGAGAGAATGAAATAAGAACCATGTTAAGTAGACGCCAAAACCCAAAAACCACATACCAGAGTTCAGCTGGATCACTTTAAGAGCTTTTGCAGACCTTTTTTTTTCTTTTTTTTCTTTCTTTTTTTTTATTAGTGAGACATCATGAGGTACAGTTGTAGACTTCAAATTTTTGTGCTTGGGTTTCAATTATACAATGATCAAATGTCCATCCCTCCACCAGTGCCCATTTCCCACCTCCACAGATCCCAGTATCCCTCCCACCCCTCATCCCCTCCCCATCCCACCCTGCCTCTGCAGCAGGGCATTCCCTTTTGTTCTCTCTCTCTTATTGGGTGTTGTGGTTTGCAAAAGAGGCAATGGGTGACAATCATGTTTGGTCTATAGTCTACTTTCAGCATCCTTCTCCCATCCTGGGAGGGTCCTCCCAATACCTTTATTTGGTGTTCCCTTCTCTATCTGAGCTCCCTTTTCCCCTAGCATGTGTGGTTGGCCTCCAAGCCATGGAGTAAAATTTCTGGTACTAATCTCGGCCATTCTTGGGTGTTAGTCTCCTATTTTGTTACTTTATGTTTCCCAGATGAATGCAATCTTTCTATGTCTATCCCTTTCTTTCTGAGTCATTTCGCTTAACATGATACTTTCCATGTAGTACCACTTGTATGTAAATTTCATAACTGAGTCTTTTCTAACAGCTACATAGTACTCCATTGTGTAGATGTACCAAAGTTTCTTTAACCAGTCATCTGTTCTCAGGCACTCAGGTTTCTTCCAGATTCTGGGTATTGTAAAGAGTGCTGACTTTTGCAGACCTTAAGTGTTTGCATTTATGTTATTTAATTTTGCTGAACCCAAATCCTTATAAATTGCCTGACCTTCCTAAACTCCATTCCTTGTGTGTCTCTGTGTGTGTCTGTGTATGTGTCTGTGAGAGAGAGAGAGAGAGAGAGAGAGAGAGGTTAGGAACTGCAATCTCTCCTTTCTTTTTTTTTCCTGGCACCTTTTTCTGGCATAATCAGGCTGTAAGTTTAAAGTCACAAGTGACTCCCAGCCAGCATCACTGTCATTGGAGCTAGAAGACTCATGTGTTGACGGTCCTCAAAGGGTCACAACTCTCTTGTGCACAAACCACATGGAAAGTAAAATCATAGACATATTTCTAAGGAGGGGATGAGGATTGCAATATTGTAGTACGTTGGAGTTTTTTTTCACAAGCCTGGTATTTGAATTTGCAATTTATTTTATAAACAGCTCACAGGGAAGATAGAACTAGCTATCCAGCATTAAAACTGTCTAGTAATTCAAACACATACTAAGAATGAGTCACAGAGGAGAAGGGAGTTTTTGCTCACTGAATGAGCAAAAACACCATCACAGACCAAGATCTTATTCACTTTCAGGGAAGCATTTGCCCATGAAGCACTCAGCCTACCTGCAATGTAATGAGAAACTATCTACTTTTGTCTTTCGACCTCTTCCCATATCCAGCCTCCACCATCAACCCACTTTTAAAAAATAACAGGTTCTAGAGGAATCACTCAAAAGGTAATTAGATAAAGTGCAAATGTCAGAGTGGTTTCCAGTTTGATTCTATTCAGTTGATGGGTTGATATTTAACACATAGCCTCAGCACTCAAGGAAAGTTTTCTCTTTCTGTGGATTATTAGGCCTCCCCATTTTCAAAGCAGCTATGATTTTTAAAAGATTAAGAGTTAAAGATTATCATAGAGGACCCAAGTGGTTAAGGCAACTGCCTTGCATACAGCTGATCCCAGTTTGGTTCCCCATTCCCCAAGAACTGCCAGGAGGATCCTTGAGTAGAGCTAGGGGTAAACCCTGATCACTGCTGGGCTTGGTCCCAAAACAACCCTCTCCCCCAAAATATCAGAGAGCACAATGGATTGAAATGCATTTAGTATTTCAGAGGCAAGAATTAAATCGAAAACCTACTGCTCAGATGACCAAATGATTTGTGGGCAGAAAACATTAAAATTGAACTGAGGCTCTAAGAAAGCATTCTATATCCTTCACTTTCCCAGAAAGTTATCTCTCCTATTTTTGCATGATAAAATTATTCTAGAGAGCTGTTTCTCCTCTCCTATTTCTTCACAATTCTTCTTTATCCCTTTTCCTTTCTTCTTCACACTTCTGCCCTTTTATTTATTTCTCTGTACTGATCCCACTGCTCCATGGTTTTCTTTTTCTTTTTTGTATTTCTTTCATTTCTCCTCACTAACCTTTCCTTTATCAGACATTAGTATGACATAAAATTTTTAAATACATATAAATTTTTCTAGACTCTGTTCTTCATGTTTAAGTGAGTTAAGGAGTATTTTCTTTTTTTTCTTTTCTTTATCCTTTCTGGGTCACACCCAGCGATGCACAGGGGTTACTTCTGGCTCTGCACTCAGGAATTACCCTTGGCGGTGCTCAGGGGACCATATGGGATGCTGGGACTCAAACCCAGGTCTGCTGTGTGAAAGACAAATGCCCTACCCGCTGTGCTCTTGCTCCAACCCCCTAGGGAGTCTTTTCGTGCTAATCACACACTACTTGTATGTTAATATTGAAAGGACTGACAGGATTCAGACAAGTTAAACTGATGAAGCAGGTTTAATAAAAGCAGCAAAACAACAGTGAAACAATGAGAGGAAAACAAGAGTTTATGAGAAACTGAAAGCTTCAGACTCAAGATTCTTCGTCCTTCAATTGTCCAGTCCATCAAGTTGAGCAGCCACTTTTCAAATCAACATTAATGTACACAAACACCTAATTCCCAGGCTATTGCTGGGATCTCAGGATGAAATGGTCACTTTCTAACTACCAGCACCACCCTGACCACTGAAACCATCAACTCCGCCAAAACCAAGTGCCAGGTATAAGTCTCCTGTTACTATCATTGCTGAGAGGTATATTCTGCCCCTAAGCCAATCACTAGTGGCAAAGTATTTATCTTTAGTCATTTATCATTTTTCAATTTATCATTTATCCAATTTATTTTCCATTTGTCCATTTATTTTCATTTCTCATTTATCCAATTTATCATTTTCAAGTTTCAGTAAAGGATGCATACAGTGCTAGAAAACCTGTAATAAACATTTGGCCAATGCAGATCTGATGAAATAAACCCATCCTGATGCTCAAGCTTTCTCTCAAAACCTAATCCCACTAAACTAGTCAGCCCTATATTAAGGCAGGAAGCAACAGAGCATTTGGCTCTGATTCTAATAGTCTGATTCCAAGAGACAGAAGTCTCTGATTTCTGAATAGAGCTCCTCCCCCAGGTCTGACTTAGACAAAATGAAAGGGATGCGCTGCAGAAGGCTGGTCCCTCTGCCTCTGGGGGGTTTCCTTCTCCACCCTCACCTTCCACCTCATCTCCAGGATGGCCCTTTCCACTTCCTCCAGGGCTTGCTCTCTCCTCTCCACAGCCCTCTCCCACCACTCTACTGCCCTCTCCCTCCTGAAGATCTCCTTTTCCTTTTGGCTGGCCCAGAGTGCCAGGGTTCCCACCTGCTCTAGGATCTTGGCCCAGTCACCCTCAATACTCGTGGGGAGTAGGGACCCTGGGGGCCTTGGGTCCAGGCGCTGCTCTGCCTGACCTTGACCACTCTTCTCCAGCTCCTCTCTGTGCATGCTCTTCAGATGCTTCCACAAGGCTGTGGTCCCCACGTTTACCCCAGGGCCACGGCTCACTTGTCTGCCACACAGACGGCAGGTGGCATACTGGTTGGGATGGTGCCCCACACGAGCAGGAGCCAGGTGGAAATACTCCCAGGCCTCAGAAAACCGGGTACCCTTATTGTGGGGCATAGGGCTGGGCGTGGCACTCACCAAAGGGTCAACCAGTTCTCCGGTCTCACTAATCTCCTCCTCCTTCATCTCTAAGTCCCCCTTTGCCTTCATCCTAGTCCTCTCTTCCTCCTCTTCCCTCCTCATTCTCTCTCCTCGCCTGCTCTCTTTGAGCCAAAAGTCCTAGCTGAAGCACAACTCAAGGCTCAAATTATGTCTGTCAAGGGACTGACAGAACTCTTAAGGATTTGCATCAATGGCTGACCACACCTGGGTGTGTGATATTTTCTCTTTCTGCTTCACTGGAATGTCACAATGAGTCAAAGTCAAGGCGAACGGCATCTGAGTCTCTCAAAAATGTCCCCTTCACGCCCGAGATGTGTGCTGCTCTCTCTTCAGCCAGCCTAAGCAGACAAACAACTTAGTCCAATAGTTACAAAACCGGTCAGTGAATTCAGTGTCCTCCGTGACAGTGGGTGCTTGGGATGTTGAGATTCTTTCTTGATTCTCTTCCTGGCTGTGTCCACTGTCTCTGTGCTCTCAAATATCTATAAAATACAAATTTTGAAGCATAAGGAACAGTCTCAGTTAAGATAATTCAAGTCCCCTGGGGCTGTGGTCTCTTCAGGTCTCCCTCAACTAGAGAGAAGCCTGTGGAACAGGTGCTGCTGTAATGAGAACTAGAACTTCCTTAGATCTTACAGCAAGCAGTTGTGCAGAGAGTATACAGCCTACCAGCAGCTGGGCAATAAAGTTCCCAAAATGAGTTCAGTGTATTCCTAGTGATATATCCCTGAGGCCAGGATTCTAAGAAGTCCAAACAGCAAGCCTTGCCTTCTTATTTTTTTGAAAAAAAAGTTGGCCTGCACGGAGGAAAGAGAGGTAGATGACCTCTCATGGATTTGAGGTCATCTTTCATCCTCAACAAGCATCTCACCATCCCACTATCCCCCATACCATCACCTGCAAGGCCAACAGCCGACATAACCATCTAATAGCAGTATATGCCAGGTGTTTGGCTTATTTATCCCATTTTAATGATGAAACAAATAAGTGGAAAATTCCATTACAGTTTTTAAAAATCTAGTTACACAAGCACACACACACACACTAGCTTCTTAAATAAATGAGAACCATCTAATCACACACACACACACACACACACACACACACACACACACACTGGCTTCTTAAATAAATGAGAACCATATAGTGAAGTTTCTATCCCAAAATAAGTAGAAAATATTCACCACCCCAGTCACAAGTGGGTACTTACAGGCAAGCAGCTCTAAACCTATCTCTTCTGGCTCCATACAGTCTGAGTGCCCCTGTGAGCGTGGAGAGCTGTGGGCTGGCTCGGCTACCAGGAGGAGGAGGGCGCTTCCAACTCAGTTCCCTCCTTCCAGAGGAACCTGCATTCCAAGTGGCTGTGCCTGTGCTGGATGAGCTCTTCTGCAATACTTAGACATGCACACAAATCTTTCTCTGGCTCCAGTTTCAACACACACACACACACACACACACACACACACACACACACACACGGAGTTCTTGGCAAATGTCATGATGCGAAACAGTAAGTCAAGCCCCTACAAGACTTAGATCTGCTTCCCAACTAGATCACTTGACTTCTCAAGCAAAGAATGAGATTGAAGCGGAAAAAGGGGAAGATACAATAGAGAACTCACATGCCTCAAGGCATCTGTGCTTTCGGACATTTGGCCCAGGTGTCCAACTGTGCTTTTAGATTTGGAGAGCTTAGACGTTATAGATAATATATATATATATATCTTTACAAAATTATTAATACATAAAATCCATATACACATATACAGAATTTAAACAAGCACGTGTCTATATAGGAGTGTTTGTGTGGAGGAGACAGAAAAGAGAAACTGAGCAAAAGGAGAGGGAAGATTTAAAGACAGTCTTTACAGAAGTAAACATTTTAAGTTATAGGAGAAAAGATGAAAACGTCAAGAACCCCCTAAGCACCACCGGGATGACCCCAGCACTTACAGCTCTGAATGGCTCTTCAGACCCTAGCAGACCCTCAGACGAGGTTGATCGAGCATTGTTAGGAATATCCCTTGGTGCCCGAACATTGCATAGGAGGAATCTCTCAAAAATGGCGAAGTAAAAATATCTGAAGAGTGGAAACTTAACTTTAAACGGAAATAAAAGACTTGAGCAAGAAAAAAAGAGATGCTAAGAAGGAATTGAAGAGTAGACAAATTAGGGAAGGGAATCAAGAGTTCTAGTTCTTTCTAGCCTAGAACTAATTGGTTTTAAGATGTTCTGTGAAAAACCCTTTGGAAAATGTCCTGACCAAACATAGACATATTGAATGAATATGCACTCAACTTCTAATTGGTGAATCCAAAATAAGGAAATGGTCAGTCTTACAGAAAGGTTTAGATTCATTTTTCTGGTTTCTTCATCGTTTATGGCTCCAACCATTTTCTGGCTTTCTTCTGCTTCCCAGGCCAATTGGACAGCTGTGTACTCCATTTGCTGAGCACTTTTCCCCCCAAATCTCTCTCTCTGTCTCTCTCTGTGTCTCTGTCTCTATCTCTGTCTCTCTCTCTCTGCATTCCCCACTGCTTTCCAAGGAATACCTGCAGAACCCAAGCCCACCTCTTGCCCACAAAATGTATTTGTTCTCTAGCTTATACCCTGATTTGTTCCATTTTAACTCCTATAGAACTCTCCAAATACTTTTAGCACTTACTGCTACCTTTTTTAAAAAAAAAATCTGTTTTGATTTGAGGACCATACTTGGCTGTTCTCAGGGCTTGCACTTAGGAATCACTCCTGGCAGACTCAGCAGACCATCGGGGGTGATAGGGATCTTTGACAGGTCACTTGAGTATGATCCAAGTGCTTTAACCATTGTGCTATTTCTCCAAGCCCCTTCACTACTAATTTGCATCATATTTCTTCCTCATCTATACAAGCAGAAATTTTCACCTGAAGATAGCTTTGCTTGTACAACACAACCACACGTGCTTGGCATTTCATAAGATGTTTGACCTCAGTTTGAGCTAGTTTAGTCTGTGGCTTTTCTATTTTAGAGAAAGTGGGTGGCATTTCAATTCAACCACCATATTCTTAAATAGAATCTTGGAATCTGTCTTCAGAACTAATAGTCTGTCTTTGGGAGTAACTAGTATGTAGGGACTCTGAGCATCATATACAACTAACTAATTTTCTAACTAGCAGATTTATCAATTGTGGGAATTGCTTGAAAGGTAAAAATTGGGACTAGTCATACATAAAATATATTTATTTCTTAAAATTAATACAAGTAGGCATATAATTTTGCAGAACCTTGGAATCAATGGTATTTTGTTTGTTTTGAAGTGCCAATAATCAAATCCAAGGCCTCACACATGCAAAACAATTACTGTACCACTGAGTCATATCTCTGGCCTTAGTGCAGTGTCTAAGATTAAAAAAAAAGGATATCCAGGGCTAAAGTGATAGTTCCACAGGAAGGATGTTTGCCTTACATGCAGACAACCTAGTTTTGATCCCCAGCACTGTATATGTTCCCCTAAAACCCATCAGAAATGATCCCTGAGTGCAGTGGCAGGAGTAAGCCTTGTACACTCATGTGTGACCAAAAAAAATCCACCAGCATATCGAATAAATCTTGTTCTATATTTTAACCATATTGATGAAGAATCCTCTCTCTGATACACACACACACAAACAAATGCACGCACAGAGTTTTGTTACTAAAATATAACCAATCTTATTTCTAAGTTTTCTGATTCGGAATATAAGCACCCTTCTATTCTATTTCATTTTTGTATTTCAATACAATGTGTATTATCATAAAATATATTACACTGAAGTTCCATACAGATAGTTTAAAGATCTGAGTATATGCTTTGTTTAGATGAGGCCTGGATTCCATCCCTGACATCCCATGGTCCCTTGAGCATTGCTAGGAGTAACCTCTGAGCACAGAGTCAGGAATAGTCTTCAAGTGACTCCAAATGTGGCCCTAAGGTCCCCAAAATATTTTATATGAAGGCTGAAGTGACATATATCTCAGCTGTACCTTCACCTACTTTTCCACAAACTTTAACCATTCTGTTCCTATGTTTTCTTATCTATCAAATAGAAATATTGAGATGTACAACTTACCTAATGGTGATGGGATGGTGAAAACACTAAAATGGGAGCTAGAGAGATAGTCAAGGGGTTAAAGCTCTTGTTTTGCACTCGGGTTTAATCTCTGGTACAGATTCCCTGTGCCCCCCCCCAGGAGTTTATTTTGCTTATGGAGAATTGTAATTCCACTTTCCCGGAAACCATAATCTATATTTGTAACATGAGCATGGTCCTACATTCAACTTAAGTTACTCTAGGATTCTAGCCATGAAATTATAACATCTCTAGAAGAGTTAGCATATTTTAGTAAATACTTTGGCACAAACTCCTAAAGGTAGACACATTTTGTCAATCACTTAATCACTTAACTTCCCGTTAGTCGTCGATTTGCTCGAGCGGGCGCCAGTAACGTCTCCATTTGTCCCTGTCGCGTGCTAGTGTAGCCCAATGGCATCTCTTCGCTCCGGGAACATGAAGGGCCTCAAACCGATCGTTCATGATCTTGACGAAGAAGTCTGACCATCTGGTAGGTGGGCGGCCACACGGTCTCTTGACATCCCGTGGAATCCAATCAGTAACAGCTCTAGTCCAACGGTCGTCTTTAAATCTCATTACGTGACCAGCCCATCTGATTTTCGACACCTTGGCAAATGAGACAGCGTCCCTGATCCTTGATCGTCGACGGATGTCAGAACTCCGGATTCGTTCTCTCATTTGAGTGAAACGTGATATTCCAAGCATAGCTCTTTCTATTCTTCTTTGGGAGACCTGAATAGCGTTCTCATCTTGTTTGCGTAGGGCCCAGGTCTCTGAGGCATATGTTAATGCAGGAAGAACAGTGGAATCAAAGAGATGTGCCCAGAGCCGGAGGTTCTTCGTCCTCTTAGCTATTTCTTCGACGTTCTTAAAGGCGTTCCAAGCCGCTCTCTTCCTCCTGCGCAGCTCGGGTGCCAGGTCATTTGTCATGTTGACCTCTCGACCTAGGTACACATAGCTGTTGCACTCGGAGATGGTCGTTCCATTGAGAGCGAATGGGGCATCAGGAACAAGGCTGTTTCTCATAAACATTGTCTTCGTGAGATTCAGCTGTAGTCCTACCTTTCCACACTCATGGTCAAAGTCGGCCAGCATTTGTGCCGCTTGGCTGATGTTTGGTGTTATTAAAACAATGTCATCAGCAAAGCGGAGGTGGTGTAGTTGCCGACCATCTATCTTCACTCCCATTCCTTCCCATTCTAGTCACAAACATTTTCACATTTGTCAAATGTGAAAAAAAAAATTTTCTCCACCAGTTTACTTGGTATGGGAGTGTGTGGAGTAGTAAAGGGTATAACTTTCTTCTGAATTTTCAAACAGTTTTTGTGTGTTCTGTCTTTATTCCCAGAGAGTATTTACCTGCTTATTGAAGAAAGTATTTCCTGAAGCATCACTTCGCTGGTTAATAGATGGAAACTCACCGCAAGGCGAAAAAGGTAAGGAAATCAATCAGTGAACACGGATTTAGCAAGGAAAGAAATCAAACAAAGAGCACAAATTGCCATTATTCAAGTGAACTTTGATATTTAAGAAAAATTCTCCTTACGAGAAAATTGTCACCTTGGAAGCTAGAGAGATGGTACAGTGGGTATAGGGCCTGCCTTGCATGCAGCCATGCCAGGTTTAATCCCTGGCATCCCAGGTTGTCCCCAAGAACCCCCAGGAGTGATTCCTGCATAGCCAGGAGTAACCTTTGAGCATCTCTGGGTATGACACACACACACATAATTTTTTTCAAAAAAGAAGAAAAATGTTACCTTGATGACCTACCATCTTTTGATAGTATATATACCTCCTACAAGAGGCTAAAATTTAATATTTTTCATCAAGAAATAAAGTTGAATGCCAGGATGGTGGCTCAGTAGTAGCCTTGCATGAGTGAAGTCTTTGTTCTATTCTCAGCATCACAAAGAAAAGAGAAGAAACCCCGTGTATTTTTTGTCAATTTGCATGTACACATGAATGATATTTATTAGTAAAAGCAAATCCCTTATCTGAAAGAAAGATTTCAATTTGGCATGCATTTAATTTTTTTCTTAGTTCAGTTAAAATAGTACCACTTGTGTTGTGCAATAAATAAAATAATTTCTACAATTTCTTCCAAATACCTGAGTGAAGAGCAGTGAGGGGACTAGAGGAAGTGTACTTAAGGACATGGGTTCACAACAAAGAACATTTTCACCAGGAGGATTATAAATTCCTGGAGCAGATACACACTTTGAGACAAGCTCGGGTGATAATGTACAAAGCAACATTTTTCATAGGTGGTAAATGCAGAAGCCTCTGCCAGAAAAATTATCTGCCTGAGCCAATATCCTTGCTCCTTTCTCCTGGGTCATTTCCCCAAAAACTCAATATATATTGAACAGTATTTGTGTCAAGTAACTATTGCTATGTTATTTTAATTAATAAAATTAAAACTTATATTGATGAATGATTATATTGACCACGATTTAATTTTCTACTTATTTATGGCTTTGAAGTCACAACCCACAGTGTTTAGGGCTTACTCCTCAATCTTGCTTAGGTAATACTCCAGGCAGTACTTGGGAGACCATATGTGGTTCAGGGGATTTTAACCCTAGTAGGCTCCATGAAGGTAAGTACCCGAATTCCTGTAATATCTTTCTGGACTTTGCAATGCATTTTGAGAAGCCTTTGGCTTGTTGCAAAAGCATTTTGCAGTTGCTTCATGCATATTGCTTTTTTTTTTTGTTAGCTCATTTGAAAAATAGCTTGCCCCCAAATGCAGAACACAATTCTGAAAATATCTATTGTCAACAAAAGTATATTTTCTTTTTAAATAAACCTTGATTTGATGTGCAGATTTTTCTTCCAACCACGGGGCAAGAAAATTTTGTCAGAATTCCATGAGTGCAAAACCTTATTTAGCTATTAGTTTGGTGAGTAATAATAATGTTAGAGCATTTGACTCTTTTAATGAAAAGAAGCTGCGGGAGTTCCAAACATTCTGTCCCATGAAAACAATTGGTTTTACATTAATTTCTTGCTGTTTTACAAGGGGAAACAAGCAATGTAATACAAAATTCCTTAGAGGTAGGAGCTCAAATAGAGCCTTAACTGTAGTAAGGTCTATTTAATATTAATTAATGTCAACTAATTAATTAAGGCTTAAGTTAATGTTACATACTACTGGTCATACTTGGGCCTTTTACGAAACCAGGTTCTCTCCCAGACCAAGCAAATCATCAGTCTTACCATCATCAATAAATAAAGCAGATGAGACAACAGCTTGCTCCAAAATTCCATGGATCCATGTCCGCAAACAAAGCAACAGTAATAATTGACACATTCTATATTTTCATCATGGATCAATGGTATGCTAGAGTTTAGAAAAACAACTCATTTTAGTCTCAGGCCTGTGAAATAAGTCCTTACTTGCCAAGAGGAACAGTTTGACCATTTTGAGTTTAATTCTAGTTTGACATCTGCATCATTTGTCGCTTAAATAGAAAACCTGGTGAGTAATATTGTCCTTATCTTTCTTGTAGAAATAAGCATTACTAATAAAATGGAAAAAGATCAAGATGGATTTTGGGAACTGAAGTCAGTTTTGACAAGGCTGTCTGGTGATATGCCTGCCCAATCAAACAATATGACTGTTTGGTGCGTGGCTCTGTCTCCAGTCCCTGGAAATAAGATACGGAACATGTCATCTGAAAAGATCACTGTTTCCTTCGGTGAGTTGTCTATTCAAAATGGTCAGCAAAGGATGGCCACAATTGCCATTGGCTCAAAATATTTCTAACTGAAACAAAAAAAATATTCACTAATTCCACAATATTATGAATCAGAAAGCTCTTTCCACATAATTCTAAACTATTATATTTTTGATTATCAAATATAGCTCTAAATAATTTCTTCAAATGGTAATCAACTGATTTGTGTTTCCAAGAATTTCTCGTAAATATAACCAATTTTTTCTTCAAAACACAATAATAATCATTCATTGAGTGGCATTTTTTAACCTATGTGTTTAATTAAAATTAATACCAAATACTAACAGTCAAGAGATTTCAAAAATCTTAATATTTCTTTTAAGTTAAAAAAATCATTTAATTATATGCAATATATGCAATTTCAGTGCTTATGAAAAACAAAGCCACATATGAGACATAAATGCATATGGATAGGACATGTATTTTAATTGTTTCAATACTTTAAATTTGAAGCACAGGATCTGAAACAAAAAACACTTTAGTGACTTGAAAATTGCTATATAGGATCATTCTACTTATTATGATATTTGACTAACCATAATATTTCCTACTCTGAACTCAATCAAGTAATGGAAATTTCACTATATGAAAAATATTAGAAATATAATGGCAAATTAGAAGCTTATAAATAGCAGTAGTCAAATATGCATACACCATAGTAAAGTAATGCATATAAAAGTAAAGCAGATTTGCAAATCATTATTACAACTTTTCAAGACCATTAATATCTTTACCACTTCCTCTAGTTTCAGAGATATGACATTCTATCACACACTCATAAAATAAAATCAGAATAATTCATGAGGCAGTGTTCTTCTCTTTGTTTCAAGGGCACAGACGGCGACTTGGGTTATGCTCAGCTCTACCACAATTTGCTGGATATTGGAAACTTTAGAAGAAGGTTATATAACTCAGTATAAATTCAATTCAATTACTTACAAGTGGGTGCCATGCTAATCCTGCCTTAATGGTATGATCCCTGGAACTCTGCCCATGTTAATATGTATGTGCACAAACACATTATCCTCTGAACTTTGAGTTAATCTCTCAAAAAAATTATCACATGTTTACACTGAAGCAGTGATACTAAATTTTGCCTGATTCCCTGGGAAATGCATGCACCTTCTTTCTAGAAGGCTGGACATGTGCAAAGCTGTGGTCCTAGTTCAGTGTGAAGGGCACTAGTTCTCTCTGGTTAAATAGCACTTCAAAAAGATTGTGTTACTGTGGACTTTTTTTTTTTTTTGCATCCTCTGGGTATATTCTCAGAAGTGGCATTGCGGGGTCATATAGAAGAAGCTGTTAGGAGAAATTAAGTCGTGAAATTTGCTTATAAGTGGATAGACTGGAGAGTATCATGCTAAGTGAAATGAGTCAGAAAGAGAGGGACAGACACAGAAGGACTGCACTCATTTATGGAGTATAGAATAACATAACATGAGGCTGACACTCAAGGACAAAATACAAGGGTCAGGAGGATTGCCTCGTAGCTGGAAGCCTGCCTCTTGAGCAGAGGGGACAAGGCAGGTGGAATAGAGAAGAGATCACTAAGAAAATGATGGCTGGAGGAATCAGTTGGGATGGGAGACATGTGCCAAAAGCAGATAAAGGACCAAACATGATGACCTCTCAGCATCTGTATTGCAAACCATAATGCCCAAAAGTAGAGAGAGAGTAGTCTGCTATGAGAGAGAGTTGTCTGCTATGGAGGCAGGGGGAGGGTGGGGAAGAAGGGTATACGGGGGAGATTAGTGGTGGGGAACGTGCACTAGTGGAGAAATGGGTGTTTGATCATTGTGTGATTGTAACCCAAACATGAAAGCTTGTAACTTTCTTACAATGATTCAGTAAAATTTAAAAAAAGAAAGAAAAGAAGAAGCTTGTCTGATACCCCAACCTAGGCCAGTTGATGTGCCTTTAGATGGTGTCTGGGGTTTCTATTGTTCAGGGCACATAGTACACAGTTCCTGATGCCTGCTACCTACTTTCAAGGCTTAACAGCAGTCCCTTGTCTTAGTCACCATTATATATCCCACTGCCTTATTATAGCAGAGCCCAATAATGATTTGTTATATGAATCAATAAAGGCTTTTTTAGTGGGGGAGAACCAAGTCAATACTTGGCCTCTCTATCACAATAGGTTATTCATTATAAATTTCTGTTTTATCCTTTCAGGATCAGTGAACTTTCTGACAGATCTTCCAGTCAGTGTGGCAGAATCTTCCCCTGGCACCCAACCTTCTCCAGCCAAAAGCACATCTCATATAAGTAAGAATGTTTTCATGTTGCTTTAGTTTCTGTGAGCTTCTAATCCTTCAACCGAGCAGACTTATAAAAACAGTTAAAAAAAATTGCATGACTCATGCCCTTTTCTCTCACTTGACATTTTAGATAGAGATATTAAAGTCTATTCTCAAAACTTCAAAGAGTTAATATAACTCCCAAAGCCTTTCCCTGAAGCTCTGGCAAAATCAAGGTCAACAACGTTCAGTGATAATTTTAAAGTTTGTATACATTATTAAGTAGGTTAACAGACTAATAATTTTCCTCCTCAGCTCTCAGTGGGGTATCTAAGCAATTGGCTATAAATGGGAATTGTGTAGACCAGAGGTAGCATAGAGGGTTTCACACTACAATTTGTTCTGGTTCAAATTAATTTTGACAAAGTTGACTGCTGAGGGCTATGAATCCAGCCTCCCAGAAGCATTATTAATAATGGAGGTCAGGTTGGGTCAGTGTTGGTGTGGCAGAGAAAAGCAGTGACTTTCAGAAGTTGGCATTGATGCAAACAAATAATAAATTCTCATGTTCATGGACCTTGTGCTTAATAAAGGACTGTGATGACTTCCCCTAATGCCAAAAAAAAGTATATTCAATAGAAAATATATAGTTAAAATTTCTTTTTTAATTAAGACTAATTATTTTAGTTCAACATGAGAACTGAAATTGGAATATAAAAGCAGTCAGTAGGAATGACCAATTTCTTTAGCCTGTAGCCTTTGGCTATACCCTGTGGGAACTGTCACAGGTTGGTACCTCTCAGAAGAGGAAACCTCTGGTAAAGTGAATAGTGTCTGCAGATTACCTATTAGAAACTGCATATTTATTTATAAAACTAGTTGTCAGTTTTTGCAATATCCCTTTTTCAAACGTTTTTCTTCTGCCTCTGCCTCATTAATCACAAATAAATCAAACTAGATTATAATATTCTCTACTGAAATGTCTTTAGCACTCGTCCTGTATCTTTTTTGCTTTTGGGAGGCCACACCCCGTGATACTCAGGGATCACTCCTAGCAGGGCCAGAAATTGAATCCTAGTATTCCATATGCAAGACAAATGCCCAACCCACTCTACTACCTCTCCAGGTCCATAGAACTCTATGTTTTTGTTACCCATTATCACATAATAAATTATTCTTGAGCTTACCAACTTACAAAATACATATTATTTTATGTGGTTTTGAAGGGTTGAAGATCCAGAAGCATCTTGACTGGATGGTGTGCCTGGGGTTTTTTTCATGAGGTTGTAACCAAGCTATTGTTTGAGGCTGCCGTCGTCTGAAGGCTTAACTGGAGAGAAGGTTCTGTTCAATTCCAATGTAATTGACAGAAAACTTCAGTCCCTCCCAAAGTGAGTCTCTAGACGGTGCTGCTTACAACAGGGCAGCTGGCTTGCCCCAGATCAAGTGGATTGAAAAGTAGAGTGACTTAAGCAAAAATCTACTGTGATTTTTATGTTCGAGTATCTAAAAAACTGCACATCATCTCTGGCTTTATTCTAATTGTTATCAGAGAGTTACTAAGTTCAGCTCATACTCAAATGGAGAATTTCACTTTTTGAATTAAAAAATTCAACTTGCTTATTGAATTAAAAAATATTCAAGAATTTATGAACAAATTGAAACCATCATATCCTTTCACTTAGAAAATGTTTGCACATAAAATTAAATGTGATTTAAACTTTTTCATTATAAGAGACTGTAGCACTGTAGCACTGTCCTCCTGTTGTTCATCGATTTGCTCGAGCAGGCCCAGTAAAGTCTCCATTGTGAGACTTATTGTTACTGTATTTGCCATATCAAATACATCACAAGTAGCTTACCAGGCTTTGCCATGTGGGCGAGATACTCTCTGTAGCTTGCCGGGCTCTCAGAGAGGGGTGGAGGAATCGAACTTAGGTTAGCCAGGTTGGCCGCATGCAAGGCAAATGCCCTACCCGCTGTGCTATAAGAGACACAGAGGGAAAATCTTATTGTTCCCATTTATCAGGTGGGAATACTGAGGTTCGAGAGCTTAAATAATTTCACAGTGAGAAAGTGGAAGTTAATATTTATAACAGTTTCCTGATTCTATATCTAGTTTGCACAACATTAAGTATGATGTTCTCTCCACTTAATTAAATACAAGTACAGGTCTATATTTAATTTTTCTCCTACCACTTGCCAAATAAAAAGTACTCACATGAAAAATAATAGCTGAGTGAATTATTGGATAAAAACAAAAATACTGGCCTGGTTGGAGGGATAGCATAGTGGATAGGACCTCGTAAGCAGCCATTTGTGGCACCACAACTGTCCAGAAATTCTCCAAAAGTGATCCCTGGGCTAAGAGTTAGGAGTAGACTTTGAAAGCCTTTGACTGTGCCATCCCCTTAAAAAATGTCAAGAGTGCCTTTACAATAGCCAGAAACTGGAAGAAACCTGAATGCCCTAGAACAGATGACTGGTTAAAGAAACTTTGGTACATCTACACAATGGAGTACTATGTAGCTGTTAGAAAAGATGAAGTCATGAAATTTACATACAAGTGGTACAACATGGAAAGTATCATGCTAAGCGAAATGAGTCAGAAAGAGAGGGATAGACATAGAAAGATTGCATTCATCTGGGGGATATAAAGTAACAAAATATGAGATTAATACCCAAGAATAGCTGAGATCAGCACCAGGAGGATTACTCCATAGCTTAGAGACCAGCCAGGCATTCTAGGGGAAAGGGCAGCTCAGATAGAGAAGGGAGCACCAAATAAAGGGTGTTAGGAGGATTCTCCCAGGAGGGGAGATGCATGTTGAAAGTAGACTATGGACTGAACCTGTTTGCCACTCAATGCCTCTTTTGCAGACCACAACTCCCAAAAGGAGAGAGAGAGAACACAGGGGATTGCCCTGCCACAGAGGCAGGGTGAGATGAGAGGGATGGGGGTGGGAGGGATATTATCCATGGTGATGGAAAATGGGCACTGGTGGAGGGATGGGTATTTGATCATTGTATAATCGAAACCCAAGCACAAAAAATTGTAAATCTACAACTGTACCTCATGGTGTTTCACTAAAAATAATAAACAACAAAGTCTCCAATGGAGACGTTACTGGGCCCGCTCGAGCAAATCGATGACCAATGGGAGGGCCTTTACCTTTAAAAATAATAAAAAAAGAAAAAAAATCCCCCCAAAAAGATGTCAAGAGTGCCAGTTACTTGTAAGAAACCTTGTGTTAAATCAAGGCTTGGACATAGTAAAAGCAGCATAATTTGGACCTTTATTGGGGTATAAATGATAATTAGGTAGAAAAAAACTGATTTTAATATGTAGAATAAATTCAAATGAATAGTTGACTATAGAAGTACAACTAGCAAACTTAACAAAGGCCTCCTTGAATAATTACTAAATTACTACTGAAAATTCTAAAGTGTTTTTTGGTAATCTGGTGGTAATTGTGAAATGCTGTCATGACTGATGAGCTCTAAAGTTAGTTCACTCTTGTGTGAAAACTTTTTAAAAAGGGAAATGAGTTAGAATTTTTTATGGATATCAGCTTCAAAAAACTATGTTTTCATTTTAAATTCTAATAAGTAATTAACTGTGTAATTCAGTCATAGTTATTAAGGTATATATCTTGCCGCAAACATCCAATTTGTGGTCCATTTCCCCTCAATGAAAGGATTTTTTTAAAAAAGATTGTAGTAGATAATGAAAACAATATTCTTTAACTAGAGAGTCCAGAGCATCACACATAACAATCTGCAAGAGCTACTGAGGGAAGTCCAGCTCAGTTTGACCTGACTAATTGAGGTTTGTTAAGTCCCAATTGCATTTGCCATACTGTCTTAGGAAATGGCATGAAGCAAGAGGAGATAAGCCCGCATGTAATAACCTGGGACACCTAACAATTCTAGAATGGGGTGCTAAACTGTGCCAGCCTATGCCAGACTGTGCCAACATGTGCGAGAGTTTGCCAATATGTTCCAGGCAATGTCAGTCTCACCATGTGCCAAGTTGTACTGACCTATGTCAGTCAGTTTTTAGCTGAGCTAACCTGTACAAGTTGGCACCAACCTATGTCTGTGCCATTCTGTGCCAGATTTACCAGCCTGTGTGACCTGGTGCCAGGCTTGCTAACCTGTGCAAAGAATTGCCAATATGTGTCAACCTGTCCCGACCTCTTGGGCTGTCCCATTCAGTGCAAACCTGTACTAGTCAGTACCAACCTGTGTCAGACAGTACTACCACATAAGAGTACTAACACATACCAGACAGTGCCAACCTGTGCCAGTTTAAACCAGTTTGTGTCAATCAGTCCCAGTACATGACAATCAGGCCAACTCATGACAGGGTATTCAATGCCATCTCATGCCATTTGGTTCCAGTATGTGCCAACACATGACAGGTTGTGTCTGACAGTGTTGATCCATGGCCATCAATGCCAGCCTTGCTATTCAGTGCCAGAATATGCCCATCAGAGCTGACATATGGCATATGTGCCAGTCAATGCCAACCCATGCCAGTCTGTGCCAGCTATGCTCTTCAGTGTGAACCTGTGTCAGATATACCAAGATGTGCCAGTGCTTACCAAACTGTGCCGTGTGATGCCAGGTAGCATCAGCCTATGCAAGTTTGTGAAAGCCTATGACAGTTTGTGTAAATATGTGTAATAGGGCATGAGATGATAAGAAAGATGAGTGCCAACAATGCTTTTGAGGAAGGATGCTGCAGGACTATGTAGATGAGGTGGAGTCATGTGAAGTTGAGTTTAATGTAACGGACTTGGACTTAGCTTTGATTTGAATGTCAACAGTTACTGTGACTTTGGCATATGTGAAAAACATGATTAAATTAGGTGTTTGTGTTTTGAACATATTTTGTGCATAGTAGGTGGTAGCAATAAAGATCAAATTATGTAATTTTAAATGATTGCAGATAATCATGGGCTAAACTAGGATATGTGCATATAAAAGAAGAGAGTTACTGAACATAGTACTCTACAAGCTAGT